TTGGTATTTCGTAAATATAATTTTTAATTTTTGATTGCTTTAAAGAGAGCACAGAAAAAATAGAAAAAGGTAACAGATAGTATTTTTTTAGATTTTTAAAGATACTTTTCATAGTATTTTCATATTTTCTTCACATATTTCGTCACTATTTGTAGGCATCATTATTTATTAATGTTCCTGAAACGTTCAACCTGTTTTCAATGTTCCATATTTTTGAAATTTCTAAGTACATATCACTTTAATATCATATCATTTAAGGTTTTTTTTTATCAAGTTTCAACTCTTTCGTAACCAATTGCATAATTTACACCAACAAACAATAAAAACTTAAATGTTTTTAATTTATTTTTAAGCACTTTTGTACTGATTTTTCGAAAAAATTTATTTGGTTAATCTCCAACTTTTTTGAATTCTTGTCGACTTTCAAATAGTTTTATTTCAGATTATTAGAAACACGTTTCATTAATAATCAAACTCTCAACACAATCATTTTATGCCACTCTTTGTATGTTAGTGTTTAGAAAATCAAATTTTTATTTTAAAATTTCCTTTTTTTATTTTTGTTTATTTTTTTTTTCAGAAAAAATATTTGTCTTAACACAAGAGTAACGCTTCTATTTGCTGTTAACACACACTGCATATATATACACATACACACACACGCACAAAAATCACAAGCCAACAATGCCACGTCGCTGTCTGTTGAGGTGAAAAGTCCTCTTCACACACTTTCACCAAACAATTTCTTTATATTTTTGAGAAATTCGTTCCAAAATCACTTTTTTCAAGTAAAATGATTTCTTTTGAGAATCAAATTTTCCATAAATAATAACTGTATTTTCTTACAAATGAAACTGTTTCAATATTCAACCACTTGATTTGCTATTTGCTCAAAGTGAGTTTTGCCTCTCTGCGTTACCAAACTGTGCACGTTGCACGCTGCCGTCGTACTGAACACAACTCGAACTGGAACTGAACTAAAACTTTTCAATGGCTGACATGCTGACTTTGGCGTTGGCGTTGGCCAGCGTTTTCCCTGCGCTTTCCCAGCGCTTTTGAAGAGGCACCCAATGCACGCACACATACCCTCACAAATACACACACACACAAGTATGAACTCACAAAAACACCCACAAGTTCCAAGCAGCAAGCAGCAGAACTTGCAAAAATGAATGAAAATTCTTAGAATTCGAAAAAATTATGGTAAAACAAAAACAAAGAGGAATGAACGTAATGAACGGTGAGCGCATAAATTTATTTTTGCATTCAGCAAATTCATTCCATGTCTAACGGTATCCTTGTAACGCAGCGCAGCGAAATATCCTGCAGGATATACACCTATATTGCGTCTCAGCGCTACACAAGCACTCTGACACTCACCCACACATGCGCGCCACAGCATCTCAAATATCACCACTATACAGTCGTTTGCATTCGTCCGCACGAACACAGCGCGTGAGTTTATCCGCTCCAGCTGAAGGCACTTTACTCCATTACTCAATTCTTGCGCTTTTGAGCGCGGCCAATCTCGCTCTTTCCCTCTCTTTTGTTTTTCCTGTATCGCCTCGCTTTGAAAGGTGTGCAAAAATTGTTGCGCATGTTCCAAAAATAGTTGCCTAACACTCAACAAAACAGTTATTAATATATTCGTGTGGTTCGTAAATAAATTCATAGTTCGTATTTACAGTTACTAAAAATATACATATTGCATGCATAGCTGTTAGGTACATTGTTAACTGGTGAAAAAATGCGCTTAACATGCATTCTTGCATTGAGTGAGTGTCTATTTTATTCACTCAAGTTTTGCACTCACTTCCTGATAAGAGTTATCGGGAATATCGATGTTGTTGTAATGTAAAATACGTTCCTTAAATAGTTGCAGGGAATGGTGTTCTGTTGAAATGCGTTTATTGAATGAAAGTTGGGGTATTTGCTGCTCATGTACCATACCAGTTGCAGCATTTTTAGTACTGCTACAGAGTTTATTCGTCCAATCAAAAGTTACGACGTCAGTCCTCAACCGATAGCATTAAAAATAGTTTCGACTTTAGTATAGACTAAGTTAGATCATGGATCTATTACAAAGATCCACTTGAACAGCTGTGACCGCTGATGCTTTGTATATCCCAACACTTTTAGATGTGATGTGTGTCGCCAGACCCTCATACACCGAAGAAACGCTTCGAGCCACAAATTTGTTAAAGCGGTAAATAGTAATCGCAGCAACTTCGCCCGGTTCGCCGAAAGTGCGTCTACCGAAATGTCTCCACGTCAGTCTGGCAAATACTGTACAGTTGAGAAAAAGTATCTTGATGATTCCATGCAGCCTTCGTCCACAAAGCTTTGCTTTATTTGTCTACGACAGTGCCCAGTCAGCACACCAGTCTTGGCGACAAGATAGACCTGCCTAATAGCACGTAGCTTAGAGGATTCCTTGTTCTCCACTTTCAGCCAGAAGGATATCGGAATAAAAAGCCTAAAAAATACAGCTTGTGCAAGAACTAAAAGTCTTCTTGAAAGGTTCCAAGAAGATGCGACGTTTTCGAGCTAAAATGTGTTCAGTGATAAGGCCCATTTCTGGCATAATGGGTATGTACTATAAACAAGAAAAATTGTCACAGTTGGGACAATGGGCAACCTGAAGGGATTCAAAAGATATCACTTCATCCAGAATAAACAACGGTTTGATATGGTTTGTAGGCCGATGGAATCAACGGTCCATATTTCTTCAAAAATGATGTCCGTGAGAACGTAACTGCCAAGGGCAAACGTTATCGTGGTTAACCGACTATTTGCTCTCGGCTTCATTTGGTTTCAACAAGATATCGCCGGTTCTCACAAATCGCGTCAATTAGTAGATTTATTGAGAAAACAATCCGGTGATCAGATAATTCCACAATAATTGGGCGGTCGATTGCCCTCCTAGATCATGTTACATCTATGCGGACATTTCCGCTTCGATTCAGGCGTTGGAGCAAAATATCACGGGAAGTAACTTAATAGTTTTCATAGAGCCTCAACTGATACCGAACATCTACCTAAGTCCGAAGTTATCCACTCAGCAAAAATGTGTTGCGTATTATTCATCTGAGTACACAAAGAGTTTTGACTTACTTATAAATGGACGAAGATACTCTCCTCTCCTAATGTTTCTACCATACCAGCTCGATTTTGGAGCAGGTGGGCGCAGCTAGGAGTTAAAAAAGATATTAATTGCTCTATTAAATCAATCATCTATAGTATGGAAATTGATCACCGGCAGCATTACTGCAGTAAATATCTGATATTATGCTGATGCAAGTCCATCTATTCGCACTTGGTGACTTGGTAGTTCCAATTGCCAAATATTTACTAAACTGTAGTTAAAAAAAAAAAATGTTAACCCTTTTGATAGCTAATCGTCTAATAAATTTTACATCTCCAAGAAAAACTTCACACAAATTGAATTAGAAATTCCCGTTTAACAAAGTTCACATACGAGATATCATGCACCCCTTTCGTTTTACATAACTTTGTCTCTTGAAATTGGAGCAATAACATTCCGTGGTTGAACCGACAACTCGGTTTGATGCACCACCAATCAGATAACGTATATACCTGCCCAGAGCAAACAATTTTTCTTCTTTGGTCAAAAATCATCAAAAAAAAAAAACTTTTTTGGAATTGCTAATCAGATGGTGATGACATTATTAAGTTTCTGTTATTCTCTAATCTTACCTACACCGGGGTGTCATCTTGTCGATCACAAAGCAGGCTCTGAAGACCGAATATGGATGGTATGTTACTTACTGTCGATCCAGCTGGCTGGAACTCGGCATCGAAGCCAAACTATCGACAATCCACTTGGTGGGCATTAATTGTTATGAAACTAGCACCAAAGTCTCTAAAATCAACTTTAAACAACTTTACCAGCAAAATAGTGTCCTATTTGCAGGAAAAATATGGTAAATATTTCTATACTTAATACTCGCAAATTGCCAGTTTTATATTGATAATAACCCGGACAGGAGGATATACCCGACACATACATACTTCTTTATATTAGTACGAAGAATTAAAACGGTAAAATATATTTTGAAATTCTTTTGTTGCTATGCATACGGAATATGAGCCCTCCATTGAAACCTTTAAACATTCGTAGTCAACCAGTCGAACTGGCGCCTAAATATATACTACAAACGCGTTCACATTAATATTCCCTAAAATTCATAGAAATATGTCGAATTTCGTGATATAAAAACTAATTTGAATAATGTAACAAATATTATATTACACACACAACAACAACGATTTGAAAACTTGTAAAATGTAATTAACAACAAATCTAAAAATAGACAGAAGCGCAACGATGAATATCATATCTAAACCAGCAACAACATAAACATGACGTCACATTTACGCCCCTGTTATTCTCTAAGCTCTGCGTGTTCGTCATGTGCTCACAGGTGTCCTGATTTAGAGCCATCAGCACATACATACACTTACACACACGTACACATATGTGATGATGTGTTGTGTATTTTTACAATCAGCATGCAATTTTATGGCATGCTTGTTGAAGTCCACATTTACATAGCATGGCATAATGGCAGCGTTGCATTTACACAAAAACAAATGACTGAAATATGCTTTCCAGAGCTGTGCCTGCGTGCGGGCATCGGTCTTGAAACAAGCGGCTCACGATATGAAGAAGCGGGAGAGAAGGACGATATGACCAAATATACCTTTTAAGAGAGCCTGGAGGGCGCTAATATAAAAAATGTGCTGGACGATTTTAACGCCAGGGTGGGCAAAGAAGGCATCTTTGGTACAACAGTCGGAAAGTGCAGTATCCATGGCGAAAGCTCTAAAAAAAAGTTGATTCTGATCGACTTCGAAGGAGCCCAAAATATGGTTGTCTGTGGTACAAGATTCCAGCAACAGAAAATTTATCAAGCTTCTTGGCTGTCACCAGATCGAACAGCTCGCAAACTAACGTCGACTCGGACCACCATCTTGTTGTAGCCACCATACACACTCGCCTCTGTACAGCAAGCCCGTCAACAAACACACAGGAAAGATACGATGTCGAGTAGCTGCAATCACAACAGACAGCGAAATGGGTTTCTACTCGACTTGCACTCCTGCTCTCTAGGAGCACTCATCAGCAACTCGGTATAAGAGAATTATGGGCAGCATTTCAAGCTCCTTGCGTACAGCTGCAAACGAAATCATTGGTTTTCGGAAAAGACAAAATAACTCTTATTACGATAAAGAATATCGTGTCTCAGTGAAGAAAAAGCAGATAGAATAGCAGGCGAGCCACGATGGAATATATGTTAAATTCCCCGACAATGATGACGTTTAGATAGAACTGTCCAATTCAAAAAATGGATTTAGACCTGGAAAAATCTTGGAAAAGACCCGTGAATGGAAGATCGACACACACCACCTCTTCGTCGATTTCAAAGCTGACTCCGAGCAACACCAAAAGCTCCGTCAGGTTCGAGGCCTTAGGCAATACGAGGTAAATATCGATTACCTTACCTATAACAATTTCTGTAACACAACTTTAACTTATATAAACAACAAACATTTTAAAGATACAAGGGAGATGTTAACACCTTTGATATTCGCTAGAAAAAATACCATATTTTCAAGTTCTGACTCGAGTACTTATTACTGTCGACCGATACTAATCACGAAATTTAGGTTGTTGAGCAGATTATCTCACTCATATACTAGATACAACCAGATTTTGCCATACGAAAATGACAATTGTTAATCTCGTCACCAGGGAGATTTGAAGATCGAAATTTCCCTGTGTAAGTCTGATTTAGCCATCTGTTTGTCGGTAAGGAAATCTATTACTTTACCTCAATTAATTTAAGCATTACAAAGAGAAACAAGAAAGGAAGGGCTAAGTTCGGGTGTCACCGAACATTTTATACTCTCGCATGATAAAGTGATAATCGAGATTTC